GTGGTTACCTCTCTTCTACGATTTTAAAACAGGTTCTATGGCCCCAAGTTTCTGTTTCAAACTTGACTATCCCCAATTTATTCCCTCATACTCTACTCAGGTCAATGCCCTAATACCCCTCCATAGGTACCCACTTTGTACTTTCGCTCATGTTGTAGCACTGTCCAGAAATACCTTCCCTATCTCTTCATCTTCCCATATTCTACCCATCTTTCAAGCTTAGCTGCCATTTTCTCTTCCAGGAGGTCTTCATGGACCCTAACAATTTCTTCTTTCTCTGATTTCCTAGAATAGGCATATCCTCTCACACAACTTGTGCTGATAATGTTCCCAGCTTGTCACTGTTTCACATGTTTAACTATTACTTAGAGCCCTTCATAGGTTATAAAGAAATTGATACCAGGAGCTGTATCTTTAAAGCTTTCAGTATCCCCTGACATATCCGATACAGTCTTATACAAAGAAAAGTGCTTTAAAGGTTGATAAAAGTAAGAGCTGTCCCTTTCCTACCTACCTCCCAGTGCAATGCTTTACCATGACAATAACAGATGTTCTAGCAGTCCCAAGTCACATAGCCCAGAGTTTTCTGTAAAATGGTATGAGAAGTTGAACCATGACAAATATCCACCATTAGATCATATTCCCAAGAGTTCGAAACCAAAAATTCAAGAAGGCATTCCCAAATCTTGAATTAAGAATGTCTTTTAGAACTTCTAGAGCCATCGCTAGACACATATGATTATTTAAATTGAAATAAAATTCAAAATTCAGTTTCTCAGTCACATTACCAATATTTCAAGTGCTCAGTAGCTATTAATACATTAATAGCTAATGGAAGGTCATTGCCATCACTGCAGAAGTTCATAGATAATTAAGCTAAGAACAACTAAATGTTTGGTTATTTCAGGACAACATTTAAGAATGCCAAAAAGGCAGTGGTTCTAAACTGTATAACTGTCAACATGGTCTTAAATTCAATCCATACCCTTCTACCCATTAGTTAAAGTCTTTGATTGTCTCCATCACCTTAGTATACTCAGTGTCTTTTCCTGTGTGTTTACGCAGCAAACACATTTCTAAATGAACATACAGATGACCACAATATACAGGTCCACCCGTGTCCAAGTCTTTCTGACCACCAAGTAAGCACTATGGCTGTGGCTATTTCTTGTTTTTGAAGGTATACGTTGATGCTCACGATAAGGGTCAAGTATCCAACACTTCTCAAAAGTCATTGAAACCAAAGTTCTGTTACAAAGTCCATCCAAAATAAAAATGACAGTGTCATCTTCAAATATGAAAGGCAAGGTTTAGATA